CTCACAGAGTGGACAATGAGACGTTAGAGGCAGTGCGGATTAAATACGTATTCAGAAAGAATTTCAATTCAGGATTTGAGTTGTATTTTACAACGTTTTTATGAAACAATTATCACTCACTCCAAGCGCAAAATAAGGCTGCTGGATTTAATTTCAATGATAACGTGGATCTAAGGTGGATATAGCGTGACATTAAATTTGTATGAGACATCAATAAAAATCTGACTCCACTTCTCCACCTCACCGTCTGCGTCGCCACTTCCCAGTGTCTCCAAAATGTGCACACGCATGACTCAGAGTTTGCTTACAGGTGCGCACATTCTCCTGCCAAGTTTATTTTTATAAATCACAACCTTTGCGTGGTAAGTGGCGTACGCCACTTTCAAGCCCCGTTTTGTGTGTAAGCAAGCTTTATAAATGAGGCCCCTGGTTACTAAAGATAATCCACAGACCTTGAAGAACATCGACTAACGGACCTGATGTTTTTTTGTCCTGTTTCAGACGCTGCAGAGTCTCTTCAGGGATAAAGGATCCATCGAGTCCATCCGGTTTCGCTCTGTGGTAAAAATCAAACACACACAATCAAACACATAAACAACATTTCAGCACACAGTTCGGCTCTGAACACATTCAGCACTTCAGCTGTTAAAGAAACACTGAATAAAACCAGGAAGTGAAACAGTGAAATTCAGTTTTGTGTTTGTTCAGCTCGGTGACATAGCGACAACACACAGGGTCGGCCCAGACACACCAAACCGACTTCAAAGAACTAGAGGCAACAAAAGCTGACTGTTGGATCACTTCACGTCACTGTGTCTCGGCCAAAAAGTTGCACATGAACACACTGTAAAGACTTCAGCTGACGGCCAACCAGCACGAACATTCTGCACCTGTGTGAGAGGAAATAACTCTCCACACCATTCAAAAAGGGAAACGGGAAGAGCCTCTTGATGGTAGAGGACATCTAACTGGCCTACTGTCCTTGTCCCAGTATACAAGCAAGGGAGGGGAATCCATTTATTGAGCCAAGTATGTGCGACTCCTCTACAATAGGTGGAGATATGCCCCCTTTCAGCTTGTTAGTATTGGACCTTTTTCCTGTTGACCTATTACGTCACAAATAAAGTGCTCAGTGCCTCTCCTGTCTTTGTAACAGTCAAAGCGACTGAAGTACCCACTGTGGGTCAAAGTAATGTGCTGTGACCCCGAGGTCACTGATTACTGAGAGAAGTCCATCAGTCTCTGGTGAGTGCAGCCATATTGTCTGTCATAACACCCCCTGCACTTTAGCTTTCTTGTCTTAATCCAAGGTGTGTATCTTGGTTACAGTGGTGGCTCTCGAAGGCAGTTCATATGTGCAGTCGCCGGATGCAATGCAAATTATTTCAAGCAGACCTGCGTCCGAGCTGTAGCCGCCCGTTTAGCCATCGCTGTTGAGAGTTTGTTGCTTGTGGAGTTGTCCAGGCATCTCTGGTGCAAACCGTCCAGCGTGGTCTGCCTTTGGCGAGGAGGGGGAGGGCTCTCTGCATCAGCTGTGTGCTTGGCGAGCAAGTGGTATATGAGACAGTGAAATAGTGAAATAACTTTGGTCTTGTGGAGAGAAACATCTGATCGGGCTCTGAAGCTGAACTCGACATCAAAAGATGCCTTTTTTATCTGTTTCTGATCGCGGAGGTTGGTTTCTGCTCTGGTAACTGCCCCGTTAGTGCTGTAGTGTCATCAGCACGATATCTGTTGTGACTCGGACCTTGAGACGGGGCAGATAGTGGCTACAGGTGATGCACAAACTGTGGCAGAAACATGCTGTATTTGTTCCTTGCAGGTCCGAGAGGATCCCTCCATGTCCCGCAAAGTAGCAGCGATTCAGTAAGTGTCTGTCTGTGTCCGATCCGTAGAGTTAGACAGAACTCCTCAAATGTTAAACTCTGTGTGACGTCGTCTTCTCTTTGTCTGAGTGAGCTTTGTTTCATTTCTGCTTCACAGACGCAAAGTGCATCCCAAAAAGCAAAGCATAAACGCCTACGTGGTGTTTAAGGACGAGGACGGCGTCTCGAAGGCGTTGGAGAGGTCAGACATGAAATGATTCCTGCTAACACAGCGTCGCTCTGTGTTGAACAATCAACCAGCCTTTCTTTTGTCTCTGCGCACAGGAACGGCACGGAGATCGAGAAAGACTTTCACATCCGAGTGGACCGAGTGACGGACGACTCAGCAGTGAGTCTGCGTGTGAGAGGTCATCTGATGAATTTTAAAATGAGTAATATCAGAACATAACTGGTGACGCTGTTCTTGTCTTGCAGCATGATCACAAACGCTCCGTGTTTGTGGGGAATCTTTCGTTCGGTGAGTCTCTGCAGCGTTAACACGGATGACTGCAAATGTTTGTCACTCTGTGCTAAATTTAACCGCTGTGTGTATGTGTGTGTGTGTGTGTGTGTGTGTGTGTATGTGTGTGTGTTCAGAGATAAATGAACTGGCTTTTCGGCGGCACTTTGAGGGGTGCGGTACAGTGGAGGCTGTACGACTGGTGCGAGACCAGAACTCTGGACTGGGGAAAGGATTCGGCTACGTCCTGTTTGAGGTACGATGACTCACATCCTGCTTCTGTCTCGTAGTTCTTGAGGTTGCTGTTGTGCTACCATGTCGGAGAAAGCTGTGGTCGGAGGTGTTATGTTTTCAAGTTGTCTGTCTGTCTGTCTGTACCTATGTCCGTCCGTTCATTCCATTCTTGTGAACCAATATCTCAAAAACAACTTGAGGGAATTTCTTCACATTTGGCACAAACATCTTATTTGAGCCAGTGATGAACTGATTAGAATTTAGTGGTCACAGATTGATTGTACTTGAGGTTTGATGTGAGAGTTTATGATGTTGTACCTGTTTGTCTTGCTGTCGCAGAGCACCGACTCGGTGCAGCTGGCGTTGGAACTGGACGGCACCAAACTGGAGGGCAGGTCCATCCGGGTGAAGAGGTCGATGAAGAAGGAGAAGCAGAAGAATAAAGGTGACAGCAGAGGAACCACGGTGAGGGCCGGCAAGGGCCCTGTGAAGGGCCCATGGCAGGAGAGAGGAGGCCATCGGGGAGGTTTCAAGTCTCAAAAGAATTTCCCGGGAAAGCAGCAGACGACAACTAAAAGCTCCGCCTCCTTCAAAGGAGAGATGGTGGATCCAAACAAAAAGAGTAAAAAGAAAGGACTGAAGAAGAAAGTGAAGCCAAAAAAGACTGTTCACATCTGATCTACACTTTACAGGGATAAACTCTTTCTGACTGAACCCAGCAGTGATCCAGCTTCTGCTGCTCTCATCACATTTTCAGGAAGAGCAAGAAGCAGCAGGTTCACAGATGCCCCTTTTCCACCAACATGGAGCGGTTCAGTTCTGGTCCTTGAACCTGATTTTTAACCATTCAGACCAAAAATAAATTGGTTCAGACCAGAAAAGCAAAAAAAAAGCAGGTTTTCCTTGACCTGAGGTGCAAACTGTGACGACATCAGTGGGCGTGTCAGATTCTACAGCAGCCCAGGGCACACCAAAGGGCAATCCAAGATCCAACTAGTTATCTCCAAGTGCACGTCAGACACTGAGCGAGCCGCCTGTTAATGACGCTGTGGGCTAATGGGCATGTAGCTACTTCCATGTTTCAGATGATACGTCATGTTTGTAGTCGACCAATGAAGATGAGTTTACATATCACCTTGGGTTCGTCCTTCACCTTCTCAAAATGATCCCACACTTTGGATTTCCTGCCCGACATGTTATTAACTAGCCTGTGGAATAACCGCAGGTACCAGCCCTGGAAATTAACCTGACTCCTGTCTGACTGCTGAGCATGGACACTTCCTGTGTCTGTCCTTTCAAAGTAAAGTCACACATGGTCCAGTCATATAGGTTTGGATTTATTTTGACAAGGCGCAGCTCCTGATAGAGTTTCACTTTTTATATTTTTTCTGCGTCTACGCAACAAATGAAATCTTGCAGACTAATGAATAACGTTTGGTCGACTGGTGTACTGACTGTTTTTTTTGTCTTTTTGTTTTCTGTGGTGCTTTGTTTTAATTTGCTCCACACAATAAAGCGATCCATCGTCCCACTCACGGCTTTCTCCTTTTACATGTTACCATCCCTCACACTGGCTGTCAATCAGGGCCTTTGTTGTGTCGCACTGATAATTCCCACTTGTGAACGACGACAAACAGGTTCCCCTGGAGGTTTTTCTTAATTAGATTCAAAGGGATTTAATTTTTTTTTAGCTATAGTTTGCTTCCTTTATTATGAGATGTGTGTGCACAACATACTGATACAGTCAATTAAAAATGCATTCATAACTTTTAGTATAGGCCCAGTTGAACATAGCAGTAATAATGTGTGGTTACCACAAAGTCCCACGGCACACGGTTGGAAGGAGATGGAGGAGGCAACAATGGAGAAGTGAAGTGAGACATCCTCAGAGAGCGTGCAGCACTCTCAGTAACAGTTGGTTTGTGCTTGTTTTTGGGTAAAAACAAATATCTGTACTACAAAAGAAAAGATCGCACTGTAATCCACAGTTACGCCACTGTTTTATACTCCTGCTGAGCGCTGTGCGCCACCCTCTGTTGATGACACATGATCACAGTGGTTCTGCTCTAAACTGGCTGGTTGACTAAAGAGCACCAAGGGTCCAGTAATCATGAACAAGTTCAAGAACCAGAGCTCGTTTGGTGGAGAAGGGGTATGAGTCGTGGAAAATGAAGAACAGGTCCATTAACACCAGTTCATATTCAGAGTTTTAGTCTTCTGGGCAACAAAGCTTTGACTCTAAAGTCAGAACATCCCGTGACATCCGGTCTGTGAAACCAAGAAAGCTTTAACGTATCTTCTACTGCAGGTGAACAAAATAAAGTTGAATCCCATTTCTGTAACCAAGGCTAAAGTAAATCATGTATAACCTTTTAACACACAAGGTGAATTTATATATGTGCATCAGCTGTTCGCTGTAGCCTACATGTGTGACCTACGCTGTTGTGAGCATTCATACCTGTGCAGTGGTGTGTCTGTGTCACTCTGCAGTTACAGAGTGCTGTAAAGTTTAGTTGATTCAAAACACACATTAAACATGGCTTATAGAGACAATTTCAAACACAAGTACACATTTTCCCCACAAATACAACGTGCTAATGTTATTAGCACAAGCCTATGGCATTTTACATTGTATAAATTAGCCTAGCAGCTAGCAGAGATTTCCCCTACTAATATAAAGACAACACTTTTTTTCATGAAGAGGTTTGTCCTCTTTTAAATGAACAGTACATTTCATAAGTTAAAAAAAATGTTATTTAATCTGATTTAATGATGCATCATTAAATCTAGGCCTATTCTTAGTTTTTAAAAATATACATACACACAGCCTGTTTAAACACCGCTTTCCAAGTTCGCCAGGGACGGAGATCAACCCGGAGAGCGCTGCTGTTACTTTGCGATGTGTGTTGTTTAACTTCAAAGTCATATCTGCACAGACTGTAGATTCTAACATATTATATTTGCAACAGTGAAGTTCAACCTGCAGTAGCTCTCTCTATTTTTATACTTACATCTGTGGCTGGGAGAGGCGAGGAAAGCTGCTGTTGCAACAACGCCACCTTGGGAATTTCAACCAGGGAAGTTATTAATACTGCTGAAGCTACTAAGGTCAAACAGGTTTGAATGAATCCACACGTACAGAGACGTGTTATCAAAAGGAGAACAAAGTTATTTAACAAAAATTAACTAACGAGGTGCAACGTGAAGCTAAAATATCTTGGACACCTGAATTTACTTAAAAACGTATCAGTGTGAACAAACTAATCACTAGCACATAGGCAGGGGAATTTATGAAATTGAGGACAGGGCTGGGGCTTACCAGCCGGCAGGGAATCAAAAAGGTAGAGGGGTTCACAAACTCACCACCCGTGACACTGCACACCATGAGGGAGGGACAGAGGCTGGTTAAAACACTGGGTGCAGAAGATAATCCTGGTGAACAGACAATCAGAACAAACCCACACTTGTGTAACGGGTGTTATGGACACGCATTCTGTAACAGAAGACAACTCATGGACAGTTTTCTGGCATTTCTTGGCTCCTGCAGAAGACATTAAACCTTTTTAAAGCCTTCTGGACTCTCCCACCTGCACCTCAATCACAAATCATCTTTAGAAGGAGCAGATGTTACCTTAAGCTAGCTCGGGTCAAGTTAGCAATATTTTAAAGGAGCAAGGCGAGCTAACTGTTAGCGTGCTCAGTTACTTTGAGAAGACTGTCAGAGATGGCAGAAATATGATCACATGATCCTGTTTGAGCTGTAACAGGTGGTGTGTTCCATGTTTTATTCTCAATTGCTCTTGGAAAGAAGAATAGAGTTCTGTAAACAAACTGTAAACAAACTGTTACCATTGGAAATCGACAGTTTTGGTTCAAGGCTGGAAGTCGCGCACACAATTCACGCAAGGTATTATGGGGGCTAGGGATAAGGTGGATAGTATGGTAGTTTGGGTACTGGAATACACAGTGTGTTTCATTGGTACTTCCACTCCCTCCCTCAGCCGTTGGTATTATGTTCCAGCCTACTTCACACAGAGGCCGCTCGCAGAGGGAAAGTGGGCGAGGGATTGAAATGGAATGCACCTGAACTTGTTCACTTCAACGTCACACTCCAGAAATGAAAGTAAAGTTAGTCAGAGTGTGAGCCACGCTGCAGTCGAGACAAGTCTCTGTTTCTCTCTAAAAGAAAATTCACACTGACTTCATCAGGTCTTTGTCAACAACACAGCAGAGTCTCTGCCCAACACTGGTGAGTACAGCTGATCATATTTACACTTTCAACAACCAGGACTAACACTAAACTTCAGCTACACTCAGACAGCAAGTTCCACTCTTTTCTCTTCATACTTATGAAACTGATAACAATATAACTGTGGCTGTTTTGGGGAGTGGGGGGAGGGGGGGTAACTTTAGGGGAGATAGCAGGTCAGTAGTATATGCTCCATAGAAGTGGTACACAGAATCTGAAAGCTGACAACCTGAAGATTAATTTAAGATGCAGCTCAGCACTGTGTGTCAAGTTTTTCTAGTCATCTGTAATAAACATTGTGTTTTGGTCAGACGCCTATTCAAACTTTATAGAGTGTATAAGGGCTCAGAACATTATGATGGAAGTACATGTCAGACATTCCCATGATCACTTATGTCTCATAAGTTGTTGCAGCAATGTTTGGGTTGATATCATGTATTAAAGAGATTTGGTGCAAAATCTAAACAGTTTTTATCACTTTAGAGATGATAGAAATGGTCAACAATCCCTCCAAATTACCACAATAAGACACCAAAACCTTGAGGAACACCAACAAATCCACCATGCTGTGATCAGGAATCCAAACACAGTATATATAATTTAAAATAACTTAACCTAATAAATGTTTGAGCTTACTTATAAGAACAGTAATCCTAAATTATTCCTTTAAAACAAATAGTTCAAACTGTATTTTAAATTCAATGTTTTTCTGTTCTTTCACCCTGTGTGTAGATATGGCTGCTGCAAACTATCTGCCATCTGAAGATCAGTTTCTGTGCTCCATCTGTCTGGATGTGTTCACTGATCCTGTCAGCACACCATGTGGACACAACTTCTGCAAAAACTGCATCACTCAACACTGGAATATTAGTGACAGGTGCCTGTGTCCGATGTGTAAAAAGGTTTTCAACACAAGACCTGAGCTGCGAGTCAACACTTTCATCTCTGAGATGGTCGCTCAGTTCAGACAGTCAGCTCAACAGAAAGCCAGCAGCAGCAGCTCACAGCAACAAGCTGCCAAACCAGGAGAAGTTCCCTGTGACGTCTGCACTGGAACCAAACTGAAGGCCCTGAAGTCCTGCCTGGTGTGTCTGGCCTCCTACTGTGAGACTCACCTGGAGCCTCATCTGACAATGTCAGGCCTGAAAAGACATCAGCTGATCGACCCTGTGGAGAACCTGGAAGACAGGATGTGTACGAAGCACGATAAACCTCTGGAGCTGTTCTGTAAGACCGACCAGACATGTGTCTGTACACTCTGCACTGTTTCAGACCACAAGACACATGATGCTGTTCCTCTGAAAGAAGAATATGAAGAAAAGAAGGCTGAGCTGGGGAAGACAGAGGCTGAAATTCAGCAGATGATCCAGAAGAGACAACTGAAGATTCAGGAGATCAAACACTCAGTCGACCTCAGTGAGAAAGATGCAGACAGAGAGATAGCAGAAGGTGCTCAGGTCTTCACTGCTCTGAAGGAGTCTGTTGAGAGAGGCCTGAATGAGCTCATCAGCACCATTAAAGAGAAGAAGAAAACGACACAGAAACAGGCTGAAGGATTCATCAAAGAGCTGGAACAGGAAATCTCTGAGCTGAAGAAGAGAAGCACTGAGGTGGAGCAGCTCTCACACTCTGAAGACCACCTCCATCTTCTCCAGGGTGTCCAGTCCCTGAAAGCTCCTCAACTCTCCAAAGACTGGACAGAGGTCAGCATCTGTCCACCATCATATGAGGGGACTGTGGTGAGAGCTGTGTCTCAGCTGGAGGAGACACTCAGTGAACAGATGAAGAAGCTACTTGCTGTGTCTGAGCTGAAGAGGGTCCAGCAGTATGCAGTGGATGTGACTCTTGATCCTGATACAGCAAATCCCTATCTCATCCTGTCTGATGATGGGAAACAAGTGAAATGTGGTGATGTGAAGAAAAATCTCCCAGACAACCCAGAGAGATTTTCTCGTTACTCTATTATTTTAGCAAAGCAGAGTTTCTCTTCAGGCAGATTTTACTTCGAGGTTCAAGTTAAAGGAAAGACTAACTGGGATTTAGGAGTGGCCAGAGAGTCGGTCAAAAGGAAGGGAGACATCATACTGAGACCTCAGGATGGTTACTGGACTATTTGGTTGAGAAATGGAAATAAATATGACGCTAATGCCGGCCCTCCAGTCCGTCTCTCTCTGAAGTCTCGTCCTCAGAAGGTGGGGGTGTTTGTGGATTATGAGGAGGGTCTGGTCTCCTTTTATGACGTAGATGCTGCAGCTCTTATCTACTCCTTTACTGGCTGCTCCTTCACTGAGAAACTCTTCCCATACTTCAGTCCCTGTAATAATGATGATGGTACAAACTCTGCACCTCTGATCATCTCTCCTGTCAGAGTAAAATAATCACTTATTTCATGTACTGATTTATTTCTATTCAAAGAAACATGTATTGTGAATCCTGTATAGTTCACGTCTTATTTTCTGCAGAATCTGTTCACTGTGCTGATGTACACTTCATTGTTAAGATGTTTTATTGTTTGTATCCCATCACACAGGCAGCATGTTAATCTGACACTTTCATCTCTTCAACTCTGCATCATGACACAAACTTTATGTGGAGAATATCTATTTAAACCTCTGTTAAACCCACAGACATTTACTCTCACTGACAGAAGAAATCACTGTTTGCAAAGACGCCAAATATGTCAGGCTGCAGTTTGACTTTGAACAAATTTTTCTTTTAGAATTTTTACTTGATTAATTTGTCTGGGAAGTGGTTTGATAATTACTGGTGACTTTGGACAGGTTTAATGTGTTGTTGGATACTGGTGAGATGGTTTATGAGTCACAGAAATCTGTAAATATGTGATTGTTAAATAAAAACTGTAAAATAAACTAGTTGTTGAACACAAGGCCTGAGTAAGCAGTGACTTGAACATTAAACACTGAACAGAAAATCCTGGTTTATACATAAGTTGTATTTCCTGACAAACACACTGTGTTTCCTGTGGCTGCTTCACAATAAAAGCATCAAGTTAAACTTCAGGCAGATTACACAGTACAGACTGTTTAAAGTCATTTCCAATTTGAAAATAAATGTGTGGTTTTCCTATTTCCTTCTCCTGTTTTCTGCTCTGCCTCTTCATGTCTGTGACTATGCTGAGAATAACAATAACTGCTGTTTTATATGTTGCTCAAAATTCTGCATGAAAATCATCATGTTTTTGTATCAGTCCTTTCAAGACAGGTTTAAAGAGTTCATCAGTTGTTGTGTCAAAATGGTGCTGGTGTTATTCAGTGCAATATTAACAGCAGGTAAAAACCATAAGAACCTCAGTGCTGAGTTGACAGTTGCTCGTTGCACTACAGTAACAACAGCAACAAGCTTCCACTTCCTGGTGTTAAGGCACAGAGCGACCACTGGATGGACCACAGCACAAAGGAACACAAATGTATGTGATAAAGTCACGTTCAAACACGAGGAAGAACCAACAAACCTCTCCGTTAAAAACAAACAAAAAAACAAAACCTCTCCATCAGAGCCGACGAACAAAAAGGCTGTGAGAACAATTAATGTCTTTAAGTTTTTTGATGTTGTTGTATAATGTAATGTACCCCTGGCTCCCTTATTTATCTTCTGTTTACATGTAATTTACGGGTTATCATTGAGCTATCTCTTATGTCTCTGAAACTTCCTGTAATCTGTATTCTTGTATCTTTGCAATAAAGTTAAAAAAGGTGGAGGGGGTTGTCATTGCAAATAAAGTACAAGTAAAAAAAAACAACAAAAAAACACACCTCTCCATCAGAGCTGCAGTGAGAGGCGAGTGAAACCGGACATTTCAACGTCATACTCCTTACATGGAACTAACTACAGGTTTGTAAGCGTCGCTGTGGAATTCAGGCAGTCGAGACGAATCTGTTTCTCTCCAAAGAAACATTAAATCAGGTCTTTCTCAGCAACAACACAGCAGAGTCTCTGCTGAACACTGGTGAGTACAGCTGATCATGTTTTCTGTGATTTCTGCTCACTTGTGTTTTAACAGTATAACATGATGTTGCTCAGTCTGGTTCTTTTTCATCCATTGCACAGAGCGACAAACAGGAAGCTGATTGACTGACTCTTCTTTGTCCTCTGCTTTATTCATGTTAAGAGATGTTAACCTCAAAGTTGTGGTTTCATGATGACATTAAGGACTTTGAAGGAAGAGAAGCTAACGAAACACGTGACAGACGTCAGCTCTTTAAACATGTGGTTTTCATTCGCTAGCGTTTTGCTTCAACATTTACCAGTGCCGTGCACAGAGACTTTGCAGAGAAGGTGCTCAAGTGGAAAAAAAGAATACCCTTAGCTTGTGTTTTTCTTTTCCGTCTTGACGCCTAAATACATACAGCACTTCTCATGGGCGTAGCGGGCGCGGGGTACGCGTGAGACATGATGTCCCCCGCACTTCCCCTATCTGTGCCCTCCGTCCCCGCACTTTTTACAGCCTTACAGCCGTTCAATTCGTTTTTAACATGTGGTAACGTGTTTTTCCGAGCCGTCTTTAAATGCACCATGAGTAGACGGCGCGCATACATATGCTGTGGTGTTGTGATCTGAATCAATGGCACATACATGTGCTGCTGTGTGTTAACTATGTTCAGCAAAGCAGCCAGCAAGAAGCAAAACACCTTGCACAGTTTCTTCCAAACAAACTGTGCAAGGTGAGAAATGCTGTTGCATGTAGATAATGTTAGCTAAATGATGACTAATTAATAGATGCCAATGTATCAAGTTAAGCTAGTTAACAAGAACACTAATGTTATTGTTAACAATGTTAAAGGATGACTTCGGTATTTTTCAACCTGGGCCCTATTTCCCCATGTGTACGTGTGCGTATGATTCAAAGGTACAACTCGCTCTAAAATTGGTTCAGTATTGAGGGAGGCGGCAGCCGCAAGCTAGATATGGGGGCAAATGCGTCCCGTATAAGTTTGCACATTAAAAGTGCTTTTTTCGCCACTCACCGGTTCAGATCGCCAGTGCTATCTCTGAAAAATAGCATACTAAGCGTTTCCCTGACCCTTCAACTCCTCCCGGCTGTAACGTCATCTCGTGAGAGCTTTGCTTGTTGCCGGAAGAAAACAGAGGAGCCATGCTGAGCGCCGCTCAGAGTGGCGCTGGTTGTCCCGGAGTACAGTTGAGAGTTTTACTGAATCGGTATCATGGCTGCATATTTACCCGATTTCGAGAATGAGAATGAGCCCTTTTATTACGATGGCCGCCCGTACTTATTTGAGCCCTAGTATACAGACGAGGAGCTCCTACAAATTGAAGAGCAGACGAGGATAGAGAGAGAGGGCCAACGAGCAGACGAGGGTGAAGCAGCGGCTGCACGAACGCGAATCTCTGAGGACTGGTGGTGCTCCTTGCTGTGACTCCATGCCCACAGAGGAAGAATGTCTGTGTTGCAACGAGTGGGACCGAGATTCATGGTCTCAATGTGTCCTGGGATGATACAGAAACTACCAAACGCTGTGTAACAACGTTAGAGGATTTCCCCCCTCTGATCAACAGGGCAGTGCAGAGGGGTATTCCAGGTAGGAGGTTCAACAAACTCTGAGTCTGACCCTGAACTCTGAGTTGATTTACCCTGAGATGGGAAACTCTGAGTTAGCGGTTCCAGAACAGCTGATTTGAGTTAGTTCAGTCAACTCTGAGTATGTTCACTCTGAGCTAAGCCGACAATAAAAAGCAATCATCAATGGAGCTCCGACTCCACGATTCACCATGGCAACAGGTAAATAAAAGACAGCGCCTCCATTTTAATCCAGTGGATGTAGAGATATTAATGCATGTGTAGCAGACGGTGCACGTTCATCTTTAAAAGAAGAGCCTGAGTCAGAGCGAGGAAAGTGTAAATAAGTTAACCATAAAGTTAATAAAAAAGTTTATTCATCATTTATCAGACTTACATTTCCTTAATGAAGATAAAGTGGTGGAATCTGACTGTGTATCAGGCTGTAGATACATTACATTATATTAATAATATATAATAATATATTTGTTCAGATTTAATCTGATGGGGAAAAACACAGGAGGCAGAAGATTTAAAACATATAGGCTAGGCTATAGATCAAAGACATAAAGACATGACTGTAAACTCACAGTCTGACCCAGTAATAATATGTTTGGTGATTTGCACTTGAAAAGACGTTGAGGTTAAAATACAGTAGATTTTAAAATGTTGCACATCTATTTGTATCTTGACTCAACAGCATTCAGTGACTTTATTTCAGCTACAAATGTAGTAAATTTAAAGACAGTGAAATGCTGCACCATTGCTCACTCAGAAATATGAACATATAATCCCCAATATTAGGCTATAGGAATTATGTTCCATCAGTGCGACCAATGACATCAGTGACAGAGATCATTAGTCATTGATACTACGTGTCTAAAGCTTCATACCCATTTTTAAAATGTAAATAATTAGACCTACACATTATGTGCAATAAACATTTGGGAGCTGCTCTGACAGACTGACAGTCTGATCCTTGTGCACAGTGTTATAAAAATAATAAATATAAAAAGGACAGAGGTTTGATTCTGAGCTGAGGGTGAATTCTCGCTGTGTAATATTTGAATGTAAAGACAAAAACTGATGTCCAAAGAAATGACTGATGTGCATAAATTCAGCAACTTAAGACAGTCCTGAGTAACAAACTAATATCCAGCAGGATTTAGACTGTGACAGACGGTAAATCTCCGCTAATGAATGCGCTTCCATACAAGCTTTGACACGGACTGAATGAATGAGGAAATGAAACAGTGTGTAAAGAGGGAGGAGACAGAGAAAAACTCAGGGTTTATTGAAGAAAACCTGCCAGTGAGCAGGTTATGTTCACAGAGTCTGTTACCATGGTGATTGACTCCGAGTTTGATTTACCTCTCTTTCTGGAACTGAAAACCCAGAGTTTCCCTCATTTCAGGGTTAACATACTCAGAGTTTTCACTAAACCCGCTTTCTGGAATACCCCTCAGGATGCCTTTTTTCATGTGCCCAAAATAAATTGGAGGAGGCGGCCAAAACCACAGTCCAACAACAATCCATCGAGTAAGTATGACTAATATGTTTTTATGCATGTGATACTGATACCTAGAATTGTCTCCGAGACGCACGTTTACTGTTGCATACTTTGCCCTCGTATATATCGTCAACATCCGTCAACAAGCAAAGCTCTCGCGAGATGACTTCACGGCCGGGAAGAGGTGAAGGGTCAGGGAAACGTTTAGTATGCTATTTACAGAGATAGCACTGGCGATCTGAACTGGTCAGTGGCGGAAAAAAAGCACTTTTAATGTGCAAACTTATACGGGACGCATTTGCCCCCATATCTAGCTCGCAGCTGCCGCCTCCCTCAATACTGAACAAATTTTAGAACGAGTTGTACCTGTGAATCATACGCACACATACACATGGGGAAATAGGGCCCAGGTTGAAAAATACCGAAGTTGTCCTTTAAATCACTTGCTAGCTAGTTTCATGCTAGGAATAAACCCACTCCTCCTTAATAAGAACTTGTGCTCACTATTGCTTTGCACATATTCTTTAATCTTTATTGCCACAATATAAAGAGCAGGGTTATGGAGCTACATTAGGGTCAAAAGTTTTGTACTTGAAAAAATAAAATTTGAAACTGAAAATTCATGTGTTGATCTTGAATTTTGAAAAATACAACAATGTATTCAAAATAAAAATAAGTGTATGAAACGTTTTTTCAGGTTAAATATAATTTTGATTCACTTTGGTAATTCTTTTGAATGAATAATTTATTTTCACTTTTCACTTCCATATATATTTTAACATTTGAGGTCTAATTTTTTTTCAGTTGCATGTTTTATCTTTTTCAGATTCAGACTTTTGACCCTGATGTGGCGTGGGGGGCGTGGCATCAACTGAGAGGGGTGTGGAATCATGAGTGACAGTGCCTTCAGGGAACGTAGGAACTAAAAAAATTCTGACTCAACACTTATATACCTACACCATATTCATGTGACTGGCAGTGTAAAATTGATGCCAGTGACAAACTTCCATTTAGAAATCTGTTTTAGACAGTACTGAGCAGTACTGAAAGCACTGTCACTCATGATTCCACGCCCCTCTCAGTTGATGCCACGCCACATCAGGGTCAAAAGTCTGAAACTCAAAAAACAGATTTGAAACTGAAAAAAAAGATCTGAAAGTGACAAAAAGATTTGAAACTGTAAAAAATATTTCTCACCTGTGTGCTGGATGTATGGGCTCCAGCAGACTGACCCGACCGACCGGTGCCATCATCGCAAGTGAAGCGGACACTACGCTGCGTTCACAGTGCTATGTGGAAATCGGACATATCAGCACTTAAAATATGGCTGTTGAACTGCAAAATCTGGCATAATTTATCACTCTTATACCGCAATTGGTGCTCAGTACTGTCTAAAACAGATTTCTAAATGGAAGTTTGTCACTGGCATCAATTTTTACACTGCCAGTCACATGAATATAGTGTATATAAGTGTTGAGTCAGAATTTTTTTAGTTCTTACGTGCCCTGAAGGCACTGTCTCTCATGATTCCACACCCCTCTCAGTTGATGCCACGCCCCCCACGCCACATCAGGGTCAAAAGTCTGAAACTGAAAAAAAAAAGATTTGAAACTGAAAAAAAAGATCTGAATCTGAAAAGATAAAACATGCAACTGAAAAAAAAAATACCTCAAATGTTAAAATATATATGGAAGTGAAAAGTGAAAATAAATTCTTTATTCAAAAGAATTACCAAAGTGAATCAAAATTACATTTAACCTGAAAAAAAGTTTCATACACTTATTTTTATTTTGAATACATTGTTGTATTTTTCAAAATTCAAGATCAACACGTGAATTTTCAGTTTCAAATTTTATTTTTTCAAGTACAAAACTTTTGACCCTAATGTAGCTCCATACAGGGTCAGGGAGGAGACAGTGGACCAGAGGCCAGCAAGAATGATCATGCAGGGTCTTCACAGGTGAGGAGAGATTATAACTGGCTAAATAAAATACCTAGAGTATAAAAGTGACTTTGAGGTTAATTTCCACAGCTATGTCACCACTACTATTCTTAATTCTATTTATGAATTTTGCTTTGCACACTTATTATCTATATTATTCAGGGTTTCCTTTTTGAAACTGTGGGGGAGGGCTTGAAGGGGAGGGCTCCGGCGATGACGGGGGGCTCTGCCTCTCCACTTTTCTCTCCTCCACTACTTCTGCCTGTGTACTTGTCTAATATAATTGGGAATGAGTGTTAGATACTTTCACATCACCAATATCACGCAGGTAACGTTAGGATAATTTAAATATTACACTTGTCATGGAACACATCAGTATCATTTCTATTCCTCAGAACTTGAGGGAACAGGGTTACGATAAATCAAGAACATTGAGCCTCTCCTTTATCTAACATTACTCTTCCTCGGGAACCTTCCTCTTCTTTTGAAAATACTTTAATATACTCATCTGAAAATGCAACCAGAAATGAGAGATACCGAGCAACTATAGGCAATTAGAAAATGCACTGGAGCTGTGTAAAAGTTTAAAAGTTAAAGTCGCCACATCCCGCAGCAACATGACCGATCTATATCAGCACTTGAGACAGCACAGAGAAAAGTAGGAAGAATGCATGCGAGAGAAAGCCGAGCCGTGTAACATTAAAGACAAAAAGACAACTGAAAGCCGCCAGAGCCTCATAAAACAACATCCAAGCACAGTTACACAAACATCTGTAAGTGTCACGGGGAAATCATGGACTCCATAACAAACTAGGCTTGAGCAGATGTCGTCACAACTCCGCACCCTGCCCCTTTGGGCCCCCTTCTGCCATTTTGAAAGCATACCGCCAGAACCGGCTTGTTGTGATCAGAAGTTATTGTGTTCTTGATTCCCACTTGAAGATGGGGAGACACTGCTGTGTAAAAAGCTGCTCCAGTGTCAACAGACTTCTAAACTTCTAAACATCATATAAAGGACCCCTCACACCTTTCCCACTGCCTGGTTCCCCCCATGAAATCAGGGAAGAGATCCACAGTCAGACTCCTCAACTCCGAGCACATATGTCTAATGCACTTTATTACATTGACGCACTTTATCCTAGATTATTTGTTAAAGGCACTATGTGTAACAATTTCAGTTGTTGTTTGAGACAAACAAATTTTGCAGTCAAACGTGTGTCCTAGCACATGTGTATTTACCTCCATCAGCGTCTCTAAGTATGTCCGTAAGCTCCGAAATTCTCATTTACATACATAGCGACCGGTGTCTCATCATGTACGTGAGTCATCTTTAAAATACAGGTATGTACAGGGACATACTTGAGAAATAGGGAATCGCCTTTCGTGTTTTCACTTGTCGGTTTCCGGTTTCCGCCTGCAGGTAGAGTGACGAAATGCAGCAGCATGCAGGCTAGTCACAAATGCCGGTGCATTTAAAAAAATCAAAAAGGCAACGTGACCGGCAATTTCAGAAAGCGAGGGTCAACATCAGGGTAGCCTTTCCCAGGTGGAGAGAGCTGCTGAAGGAGAA